AGGATCAAGAGACTCTTAGAAAACTTAACCAACAGCTGGTGGACAATAAGAAAGCGAATAAACAAGCTGTGATTATGCAGAGTCAGCCTCAACCAAATCAATTACCACCACAACCGCAGCATGACTAGATCTAGTTTCAGCTACCTCAGCTGTTATCCATGATCCCCACTGCACCTTTTCCACAGTCAGTTTTTGACCAACCACAGATAGGAAGGTTCAGGAAGTAGAGAGATAAGTGAATGCTCAGACAAGGAAATTGTTAGACCTGCTAGGTCTGATGATTCAGGAAGCAAATGGTTTAGCCCATGTGCAAGGGGGGAGTTAGGAGAAAGATTACGAAAGAATATGGTTTTTGGTTACTATATTTGCTTGAGCAGATTGATTAGATAGATTGATTAGATAGATAGATAGATAGATAGATAGATAGATAGATACTTTATTGATCCCGAAGGAAATTCAAAGCATCCAGTAGCAGGTTACAAAGACGTACATGACATGAAACATTTGTTACAAATTAACCAGAAAACCGACCCCCTCTCTCATACATATATATTAACCCGAAAAAAGATTTAAAAGAATCCCCCTAGATGAAACAAGCTTAAACTGTGCAATTAAAAAATACTCTTATACAAGAAATATACATAACCCATGATTATGTCATAAGCAGGTGTACTATTTGTCTAAAAAAAACGATGTTAGGACACCAATAGGTCCTATGCGTGAGTTAGTTGTGGATTTTGTTGATATGATAAGACCGGTAGGAGGTAAAAGATACATGTTAGTTGTTGTGGACAGATTTTCAAGGTGGCTTGAAGCCTGTCCAACCAAGCGGAAAGATGCTCAGTCTGCTGCCAAGTTTTTAAGTTGTTTTTTGTGTTGTGAGGTCATAAGCAGGTGGGGACTCCCAGATTGCATATCTTCAGATAATGGCAAAGAGTTTGTGAATAAAACAGTAAGACTAATTTTGAAAAATTGGAAATTAAATAACGTCTAGGAGTTGTCTATCATCTGCAAATCCAAGGTGTTTGTGAAAAAAAAAAAAAGAAAAAAAAAAAAAAATGAATGATGTGTTAGATTGTTAAAATCTGCCAACACATAGGTCTGAATTTGATGAAGGTGCTTCTGTTGGTGTTAATGGTGTTTTGATTAAAGCCAATTAGAGGTCAAAGTTTAAAATTTAACTGGAGATGACTGTTATACTTTGATCCCTGATGCTGCTGACAATATGACTAGTGTCATAGATGCATTGAAACTCATAAGGAATTAATTTGGTCCATCAGAAGGAGCAGGATGGTCTGTGAATGTTTGGCTGCAATAACAATTAGGACCAGTAGGAGCTATAGTGTTTTAGATTCTGACACTACTGAGTGGTAATGACCTGAGCAAAGATGAGGAGGTCATAGAGATGGGACAAGAGCAAGTAGGAGAAATATCCAATTTTAAATATCTGAATTCATCATTGACTCACTATTATTTTGAACTGGAAGTGAATTGATAAAAGGGGGGAAATTGAATATGTTAATCATGTATATTAATCATGTATATGTTAATCATGTAGTGGAATAATGTGAAAGTATGATACAAAAATTTATATTTTTGATGTTTTTGTATGTGCAAAGATACTGGTTATTGATTTTTCTTCCCAGGACGATATTTGGGAGACCAATGTGAGGGTGGCTGATTGTCCAGAGATCCTTCCAGTTTAATGGACTTGAAACAACCAAACTTAGGAAAATGGAGGATGGAAGTGGACAACGGAAACCTGAATGAAGACATCATGATGAGGGGTTTCGATTGAAAAATCATTGAGGTTTTATTACAGTAGAAGCTGATGCTGCTAAAAAGCAACAGTTTAATATATATATATATATATATATATATATATATTTTAATAGTATTGGATTTTCTTTATCACAATGTAACTTGTATTATTGATAAATATTATGTATGTTTTACTCTATAGTAGATATTTTTAGCAAGACATATTACTTTGGATTAGTATTGGAGTTTTCTGGACCTGTATAAGATGCATATATTGGAACCTCAGGTGTTTTCTTTCTTTATCGATCTTTAGGGAAAGTGGTGTTAGGTAGGGAAAGGTCCATTGGAAGGTGCGATGGGTCGACCAGCCTGACTTTGGACAATTTTTAGATTTTATTTCTGAGGTTTTAAATGTATGCATTTATAAATCATCCTAGAAAGTGTTCAGAATCCTTTTTTTTTTAAATTGGTTTGGAGTACTATAGGTGGTTGCCTGGTGCAGAGGGACCGTGGGAAAGTTTTCCTGTCTAGATTGTTTGATGGATAATAAAGAAAGATAGTTGCCTGATGGGTTTTTCGCTCTCACACTCCACAAATACATGTTTTACTATATTGCTAAGGTTAAGCATGAACAGAAGTGATTCTTATGAGGCTAATTAACATCGCAATTGTATCATTTTTCTCGTTAGTGAGACTATAGTCTCGAAGGGGGGACTATGAAGTGTCTGACGTAACTAGGACAGAGATAATATACTGCTCCTTTAAGTTTATAACGTGTACATCTGGAGAGAATTTGTATCTGAAGGAGATTTAGGAGTCCCTTCAAGTTGAATGTTTACATTGAGGTGTTGTGTAATAGTATTGCCAAATATGGATGTGTGACATGATGTTTTTTATGACCCATGACGAACAGCTGATGTTTAGATGCATATAGGCGATTGTCTCTGTATGTTTGAGAGAGATCATTATTGGCTTCTTGATCCTCCTGGTCAGACGTGACCAGTGACTCTGTTTCTTGCTTAAATAAAAATTATACTCTTTGAAAGCAAGTCAGTCTCAACGGCGAATTTCTTCATCATCAAACATATCAACAACAAGGAAATCCACATCACCATCTACACTAGTTCAAACAATATTTTTTTATTAAATCACACTCATGATTCATGTGGATAAATATGAGAGGAGGGTGAGCAGAGCAATATTCCCCCACCTGACAACCATGTCACTTTACCTATAATAACTTTTTATTAATCTTAACCTTTAATAATTAATCAGTCAATGATTCAAACTGTATGTGTTGCTACTTTGAGAGACCAAGTAAATTGTCCATGAAGACAATTCAAAAGATGTCCCATTTGCTCCGGGAGCTGCAGCATTACTACAACAGTTGTTGGGACACCCCCCATGTAAAGCAGAGCTGTACTCACTGCAAGTACTTTTATCAGTGGTCAAGCCAGTCGATGGTATAAAAACATACCTGCAGGAAACTTTTAACTGTGTGTGCAGCGCTTCTGTTCACAGGCTCATCTTTTTTTAAGATATCACAGGTGAGAGAGGACCAAATTATTAATAACAGGTTCTGTTCCACTTGTACCGTATTGACCCGAATATACAACACTTTTTTTTTTCCCCTTATGAATATATCTGGAAAAGAGGGGGGGGGTCATAATATGTTGGGGTGGCTGTGGCTCAGTTGGTAGAGTCACTGCCTTTCAACCAAAAGATCAAGGGTTCAATCGCCAGCTGGGCAACACATCCGATGTGTCTTGGCGAGACACTCAACCCCGCATTGCTCCCACTGCTTTGGTGGCGGTGTATGAATGTATTAGTGTTGTACTTACTATCTGATGTACGTCGCTTTGGATAAAAGCATCTGCAGAGTGAATTGAATTGTAACATTTGAGGTTTTAGACATTTAAACAGCAAAATAGATCCACAACAGCAGGTGGCGCCAAATCCCCGTAACCTGAATGTGCTCCTCATGACTGGAGGAGCGGTCAATTAAAACTCCCAACAGTGACGGTTTGCCTGAAAATCAAATCTAACCTCCTGATGACTCCACAGTCTGCAGATGATTCACTTGCTGCATCACATAAAAGTGTAGCTGTATGAATAGAATCATTGAGCACTGATCTCTCAATTTTACACCGACACATGATAACAGGTAATAAAATCAGTGACAGATTAAACAGTCCGAGCTTCTCTCAGCTGCACACTCACTCAGCTGCGTCCAAAGACTTCCTGACTGCAGACAACTTTTTTCAGACGATCTGGGCAGTGACAGAAAAAGTCAGATTTGGTTAAATGATGGTTAAACTAGTTTACTTTGTGTAACATGTCAGTTTGTTTACACCTCCTCCCCCCTTTTTAAAAACTTTCCTTATAATAAAAACATGTGAATTAATCTCTGAAGGCAAATCAAACTCATTGTTCTCTGAAATTCTTCAGACATTTCTTTTTCATGAAATCAGATTTTTTAATTTATTATCTGATAAAATCCCCTCATCTCTTTTTTCATGAACAAGAGAATTGTTATTTTCATAACTAATTAATTATTAATCCAATTATTGAAGACCTGTCAGTTGATACAAAGTTCCTGTAGTGGCTTGATCTTGCTTATCAAAACTTTGAGCCACTGAGGGGCTGATACCGCACTTCATTGACGCGCTGTTTCCGTGTTTCGTGGCAATAATTAAATCAACTCCGTGCTGTCACACTCAAAACGGGTTTATCTCAATGGTTCGTTTACAATACATATTCTGGATGTCTACATACACTTATTCCACTATAACTTGAATGTAAAACAAAGCCAGGATAAATGTTCCATTCACGATACATTTCAACAGCGGTCAAACACTGAGTGCCTCTCACGGTGGGCTGCTCACCTGTCCGTGATTAACTCTTCCTCTACTTGTAACCTTCCCAACACCAAAGTGAATGTGCCCCCTACTGTCACCACAAGGAACTACCACAGAGCACACATACATACTGGACACACAAATGGCTCTAACAGTTCCTATGATGTCAGTTGTAGATGATGTGCTTTTTATTTTTAACCTCAGAAATAAGCTCTCTCACATTTCTGCAGAGATTCATTCGTATCTGGTTTCTGTAGAAAACAAAAGGACGTTGCAAGGTACATGTGAATTTAAAAAAAATAAGTTTATTATTAAGAACCCCCCCATAAAAAGAAATTGTTTTATTCTGTATGAAAAACTGAGGAAAATTAAACAGAGCAATGACAGAGAGACCTTTGTAATCATACAATACAAAGACAATAATAAAACATAATTAAAGCTGTGTTACATCCATGTAAGGTAAATGTGTCATTCAACAAAAATACTGATATGAAAAAGAATTATTTTTAAAGCAATGTAAAGAAAAACAAGTCAGTGTGTATCTCCTACAAGTGATAAGGTATGTGGTGAACATGTATAAAATACAAGTATAAACCAAATCCTTTAAGACATGATTTCATTTAAAATGAATGACTGAATGAAGCCTCTATTGCTCCTATGGGAAATGTGTTTTTCACAGTGAACATGAAAACATAACTAATCGCCTGACTGATTTCGTCCTTCTGGTACTGCAGGGGGCTTTGGAGTCCAATCTATGGTTTGTAGCCATGCTCGAAACGCTGTCTCATCCCAACTTTCAATCAAGAAAACGACAGGTTGAGAGATGGAGCTGAGGTGAGTTTTCAGCCTCTTGACAAACCGTTACATTTAGCCCTCCTGTTAATATGGTCAGCTACGCGTCATACTGTTAATAACTCTTATCCTTCATAAAATCAAAATGGATGAGTTGTCAAAAAATTCAACCCCTGTAGTGTGTGCTGATCGAGACAGGCTAATTAGACCTGTCGTTAACATGCTTGTTTCTGCTGTAATAATTGGCTTTTTGCACTGGGTGTGTATTTAAACAAACCAGTATGTGATAAACCAGTATGAAATTTTCACAGAGCAGGCATGAAGACTTTGATCCTCTCCAGCAGCTCAGTGGGATCTTGGAGGAAAGTTGGAAGCTTGCTCCTGTTGATGTAGAAGGCCACGGCAACAACGACAGCTGACACCATCAGGGGCCACAGAAACGACCTGTGGGGTTCAGCTGCTGGGCAGGGCCGGGTCTGCAAGGGCTGAGTCACTCTCTCCCACTGGGTGAGGATGGCCTGACGGGCCCCCGCCCACTTGCCGGGGCCTCCGAGACGATACTGGTATGGCGTGCAGGGACCCAGCAACACGTTGAGTCCCATCCTGGGGTCGGTCAGCAGCAGCCTCGGCACACTTGGTCGGACCCCCACCTGCTCTGCGATCTCATCCATGTAGCTGATGTAGTCCACCTGGATGGTGTGTCTCTGACTGCTCACATACCTGACGAACACATCACATGTCAACATCAAGAGGAGAACCATGGATTTACTTTTTTTTTTTTTTTTAATCCAGCAGTCATCACAGAGCTGGGAGATCCTCTGAGGCTTTTATTTTTTTTAGCTGAATCAATTAGAGATAATCAATGTTTAACTCAAGCTCCTGGTGTTGTTCTGTATATAGGCACTGCTGTGATTAATAATCAGTGCTGATATTCAGAACAACATCATGATGTTGAGAGATACTTTTTGTGAACAGCACAACTCAACAAGTTCCAAAACTTAACTAAAACTGACCTGTTGCTAAGGAACCCAAACATTCTCCTGCACCCTGTTTATTTCCATGGTTACCACATACCTGTGTAACTGTGTAAGCAGCTAGTTGTATCTTAAGTTCTGGGGTAAAGTCCTCACTTAACCCTTGGTGTAAACTTGTTAGTTTGTAACTTAAGTTGTGTCATTATTTCGTTACCATTGAGATGTAAGGTTCATCTTAACTAGTACAGAGTAAAGGCCAAACTAACCAAAAATATTGTGCAGAAAGGATTGCTGTTTTACCCACCTTTCTACACCATCACCATGATAACTGTATTTTGCAGAGGACGTCACACCTACTAGGATCGAGGTGTAAGATTGAATGTGTAACTTGTAATGTGACATTACTTAATTATGCTGATCAATATATTTCAATAGCTGTTTTAAAGATCATCCTGATGATGCAGGCCTTAAAAAACCCAGATGGTTAAGAAGTAAAACTTTTGAATTCTGAGTGGTTTGTCCAACTATTTGAAGGTGCACTCCTTTATGTAGCTCATTAAGTTATTTGATGACTCTAAATTGCAGTAGGTGTGAACATGAGTATTACTGGTAGTTTGGATCTGCTACTTGTTCATAACTTCAGAATTGGGCCATAGACTGATCCTGATTACATTCAAACCAACCCAGGGCTCCATGTGCCAGGTGCTCACTTCTTACAGTTAAGATTGGTTCACAATTTTAATCTGTGAATACACCCTTAATCCATATCAATAAAAAACAAATCTGAAGTTTATTTTCGGCCTAATAATCATATACCGCCCAGCCCCAGAATCATCGTCAGTACCTTTGAGCCATGGTCTTCTTCTTGCACTGGATGTCTTTCATCATGTCGACCACTGAGGGGAGCTTTGCGCACCCTAGGAGAGTGAGAGAGAGAGAAACAGAGAGAGAGAGAGAGAGAAACAGAGAGAGAGAGAGGACACACTGAGACATTGAGGTTTGATCTCTCAGACACTTCTGATTAAAAACAACCAGTGTTACCTTTAAAGACTCGAGTGGCCCACCTGGCCTGCATCTCAGAGATTGGCATGATGGCTCCCAGTGGCTGCACCAGGCCGATGATGGCCAGTGTGTGGCGCTGCAGCTCATGAGGAAACACGTACTTGTAGAGAGATGCTTTGTTGTCAGACACTGAGAGCACCTGAGAGGCCAGGAACGGGAAGGAGAACCTGTAACCTGTGGCAAACACCTGCAGGACAAGACAGTCAGTCACACACAGTCTGTACTAGTGTTTGTGTGTCTGTGTGTGTGAACAATACAACCTACCACCAGGTCCACGTCCTCCACCACACTCCCATCATCAAACTCCACACTGGAGCCCTGAAACCTGCGCACGTTTGGTTTCACCTGAACGGTACCTGACAGGATGCGGTTTGGAAGCTCGTCGTTCACTGTGGGATGTTGGCTGAACAACCTGACACACACACACACACACACACACACACACACACACACACACACACACACACACACACACACACACACACACACACACACACACACACACACACACACACACACACACACACACACACACACACACACACACACACACACACACACACACACACACACACACACACACACACACACACACACACACACACACACACACACACACACACACACACACACACACACACACACACACACACACACACACACACACACACACACACACACACACACACACACACACACACACTGTTTAGTGTTTAACATTATTAAGAAAAAAAACAAGTAGAAGTGAAGTACAAGTGGTTAAAACAGACAGAGTCAGATAAAATATGTTCTGATTCAGTGCTTATTTAGTCTTTTCACTCTACTGCAGCTGGACTCACTAACTTATTGAGATAAACAGAACAGTAAAAAAAAAGCTGACGCACTCAGTACCTGTGCTGTGGCTTCAAGTTGTACAGAGTGTGGTCGAATCTTTTGTTGAGCTGGCTCTCCACAAGTCCTGAGAAGAAATTAAAGGGCAGAACATTCTTCAAGAGCTCAATCGCTCTGTTAAACAGCATGTCCAAGGGCAGACCATTGTCCCCGACTCTGTTTAGGATCCAAGCTCCCCGCCGGGTGCTCAGGTACAGCTAGGAAGGAGGAAACATGGACGTCAGTCATTGAGCTGGAGCATAGACTCTCACAGTTGTTTGTTGGATAAGGTATCTAAAATATTGAGAGAAGGATTCGATCAAGGACTTCAGCAAAAAACATGAAGGCAGCTTTTACATTTTGTAAATAAAGCTCAGCTTTCTGCATTTAAACCAGCAGAAAGTCTCTGTCCTTAAAGGATTAATATGCAATTTTTTTGATCCAGCAGATGTCGCCCTTAAGCACCAGCATGAAACCAAAACAACTTGTGCTGCATTGTTGTGTTAGCAGGCTAATGCTAGCGATCTTTATTATGCTCGGAGCTTCACACTACATGAAATGACCGTGATCTAAAAACGCTTACATGACATTCAAATAAGCAGTGAGTACAGTATGTTATTCTTCTTTTCTCTAGTCCTCAATTAAACAACTTTTATTCGCGAGGGGATGAGCCAGTCGGCCGTCCTGGCGATGTAAACAAGGTCAAGCTAGGAAAGCTCGGAAAACGTCACAGACAGTGGGACTCGGGTGTTACATCCATTGTAGACAGTCATGACTCACAGAGTGATTTTCAGAGGATACTTGATTTCTATTATATTTAAGTGTGAAAAATCGCATATTAAGCCTTTAAAGTCCTGTTTATAGCATGGGGTAGTTGTGTACTTCTGCCTCTTGTGGCTGATGTGAGTATTACAAAAAAAGCACTTTCCCAAGTAATAAACAGAGAGAATCCTTTACATCAGACTCAGAAAGTAGGTCATTGAGGGTTTAGTACTGTGAAGTACATACCGTGGTGTAAACTACATTTATTAATGTATGGATTCCACAATGATTTTCTGCAGCGTCCATCATTTTCCTTATTTGCTTCAGTGATGTGTTTTATCTTTTATATATTTGATGATATATAGGTGATGACTAGCTTCATGATACCTGATATCTCTATCTGGAGCCCCAGGCTTTGAGACAACTTACTCTAAGAAAGTCTGTGTATGTAAAAACTTGCCCTCATGTCCCCTCACTGTTAAAATCGTATTGAGACCTGTTTGGTGACTTTGCTGAGCTCTACTGCGATGTCTCCTCCGGAGTTTCCTATCCCGATCACCACCACCTTTTTGTCCCTCCACTGCTCCGGAGTCTTGTAGTCCCTGCTGTGGAAGAACTGTCCTTTAAAGGTGTCGATGCCTGAAGAAAACAAAGATTCAAACTTGTGATTGTTGAGTTAAGTTTTTATCAGGGCTGTCAGTGTTTAGGCATTAATCACAATGCTGTAAAGGTCTTAAGTGCATCTTTTTCTTTTAATCCCATTAATTGTGTAATGGTTTGTCCCATTCAGCTCATCACAGTTAAGCTGGTATGTCTTCCTGCTCCCACAGTGATGGAAAATACTGACACCAATGTGCTTTTGAATGGTTCAATTTAAAAACTCCCAGACAGCTCAGATGACAAGACAACAGTAATATCCACCTTGTGTCAAACAGAATTCAAATATCAGTGAAGTACTTTGAGTTTGAGCCTCATCTACGAACTGAGCATACAGGTGAAGCTAATCAGACGGATGTCAGCGGGAAAGCACATCACCAAAGTCTGCAGAGCAATTCAAAAACTGCTTTAAAATGCTAAATTATGGGGGCGCTGGTAGTGCAGTGGCTAGTGTGCACCCCCATGTATGGAGGCTGTAGTCTTCAAGCGTGCAGCTCAGGTTCAAATCCAGCCAGTGGCTCCCTTCCCACATATTATTCCCCACTCTCTCTCTCTCTCTCCTGATTTCCGACTCTATCAACTGTCCTGTCTCTCCATTAAAGGCACAAAAAGCACCCCAAAAAATAAAAAGCTAAATTGTAGATTTTTTTTAACATGAGATTACATGTTAAAAATTGATCGTTTGACAGTCCTAGTTTTATTTTATCAAGAAACATAAAAAGCCACAGTGGAGGAGTTTGACATCATTATTTTTCTATGGTGCAGCTTGCTGTTGAACATGGTTATATAACACCCTTCACATTACCCGATTGGACACACATTATCAAAAGGTTGAATCAGGTAAAGTGTGCAGGAGCCTGCAGGGGTTTTCTTCTCACCTGGGAAGTCGTGTAGGGGCAGGTTGGGTTGACAATGGTGTCCAATACAGATCATCACTGCATCAAAAATGTGTTTCTCCTTTTTACCCTCCTTGTTCTCCGTCTCGATGTCCCACTGACCAGACTGAGAGAAATCTGACCTCTGCTTCACCTGCAGCACTTTGGTCTGAACAACAGAGACACACACACAGATTAAATCAGAAAGAACAAGCAAACAATGGTCCCGTCTGACCTTATTTAATAATTAATCTTAAATTCCCTTTGCTCTAGCAGTCTGTTAAACCTTTACAGTAACATTTCTTTGTTAAAAATCAAATATTACCAATAAACAGGTTAAATAGCCCCATGTATTAAATGATGAACTCACCAATGAACCAACTTTAAATGGGTTTTGAGATGCCAACAGTTTGAGAGGAAATAAAAAAGGTATGTTTTTATCAAGGCTATTACTTTTGAAAGGTTTATCCCATATCTACAGTGTTTAATCAATGATTTAGAGTCTGTTTGAGGTTCTTAAGGGGTCGGGTCCCAACCTCAAGCTGATAGTTTAACAGTTTTGCAGAATACATTTAAAAATCTGCTGTGCAGGCGGTGAGTGCAGTGTGTGCTCACGTTGAAGCGGATGTGTTTGGTGAGCTGGAAGTGGTCGGCGTACATCCTGAAGTAGTCCATGATGAGGGAGTTGTGCATGTAGTTGGGGAAGTGTGCCGGGATGGGAAAGTCACTGAAACACATCATCTCCTTGGAGGTGTTGATGATGACAGAGTGGTAGATGCTGGCTCTGTCCGCCTCTGGATTCTCCTGCACCAACAACACCAACATCATCATCACAATCAGGTTTATGACCAAGAACATTTAATCTAACAAGGAATTAGTCTTGGTGCAAAAAAAACAACAACAAAGACTATGATTAAAGGGTAACTAAACCCCATATTTTCAGCTGTACTGCTGTACCCTGGAATTAAAAAAAATGCATTTAGAACGTCAATGTATCAACTTAGAGAAGAAGGGGGCGGGGCACGGGGGGGTAAATTCACCCACTCACTGCTTAGCGCCGTTATCAGCCGCAACATGATACAATGGGTGCGTTCGAATTGTCCCTCCTATCTCCTTTCACTATCCATTTTTCCTTAACCCCGCGAAAACGTCATGAGGTCAAGGAAAGATGATAGGAGAATTCATAAAGGACTTAGGGAAAGGTGATCTCGTTGCTCTGACAATCCGACCACATTTCCACTAGGCCACGTCATTAAATGCGACGGGCCGGTGGAGGTTAATGACGTGGGTCTGCCGTGTTGAAACTACAAGGTTCAGAAAGTGGACTACAAAAAGATCATCTAAAAAAACTTTCCCCTGTGCCTTCTTACCAGTGAAATAATCCTTAATTACCACAAGGTTGGTATTGAAATAAAAGAAATATAGAATACCAGGCTACAAGTAAGAAAAGTGAAACCATGAGCTTCCTGTCCAATCAGAAATCAACATAAATATGAAATTAATTGTTACATTTATGTGAGATATAACCTACACATAATGTTTTAAGCATACAAATGTACAACTGCACAGCATTCTTAAGTGAATGAAATACATTGAATAAAACATCATAAAGATTGTTGGAGCTATTTAATTGGGGTTAGAATTAGTTTTTGTATTTAGTAAAACTAATATTTGGGTGGTGTTGTTTATTTAATTATTCTACACATTTTCTTTTTTGCTAGTTATTTGTTTAGTAAATTTAGTTTTGTATTAGTATTTTGTTAGGTATTTGGGTAATACTGTGGGCACTGGAGAGGCAGGTGGAGGACCAGCATGCACCTGGGTGGGCCTATTGTTTTTTAACAGGTCAAGAGAGGCAGCGGGAGCCACGATTTTCTTTATTCTTTTGTTTGTTTTCATCAAATAAACCAGCAAAATACCGCAGCTCCTGCATGGACATTGGATTTCTTTTGCCTGCTTACATTACATCCCCATGGTGCATCAGTGGTCATTTGATTATTTTTGATATTAGTTTATTTAGTTTTTTTTGTTGTTTTGGACAAATAGCCACTACAAAGATCATAAGACACGCCCACTCACTCCTTTCGTGCCGTTATCAGCCGCAACATGATACAATGTTTGCCCCACACACACAACTACACACACACACTTGAGTCCCCACATTTCACCTCGGGTGATGAGGCTTTTATAGGTTTGGTGACGTAGTAATTCACTCCTACGTCATACTGTACGCTACACAGCTGTTAGAGTTTTTCAAACGGAAGAGCAGACACTATGCACATTTCTAACACAATATTTCAAATTTCAATACTTTGTACTCAAATGTCGAGATTGGGGCTTGGATTGATCCATAACACTACTTAATACTCAAATACAGAGGTTTATAGTTGAAAAAAGTGGTTTTAGGGTTTAGTTACTAACAGTAAAAGACAGTTCACACATCTATCAAAATATGTGCAACATGAGCAATAAAAAAAAACGGAACAGTTGAAGTTGCAGCATGATGTTTCGTGCGAAGTACATAATTAAAGACTGCAGTACCGAATATACAGATAAGTGAGTGTTAATGTAAAGTACACAGTGACTGTGACTAACCTTGAACCTCCACAGACCCCCCATGTCATCGCTGCTCTCAAAGCAGACGGGCTGCAGCCCCTCATCCAGACAGCACTTGATGCAGGCCAGACCTGAACTGCCCCCTCCGACCACGGCAACACGACGAGCCATCACTCAGGTCTGACACACAGGAAACACAACCACATACGCCTATCATCAGAGGAAAATTATAAAAACAAGCCAACAAAAAACATGAATAAATCTGTGAACAAGTAGACACAACCACTACTACTTTAGCGACTAGATCAGAAAGTTTATTTGAGGTGGATTAAAAACATCCCCAGCGACATGTCTTTGAATTTCTGTTAGAAACAGCGTTTACTGTTGGTGTCTAAATGTTATTTTTAACCAAACCTGCTGTTTCGCTACCAAACTTTGCAGCTCTGCATGCGGGGTGTTAACTACATATTGAGAGTCTTCTGCTGCTCTTACAGCGAGCTTAGCTCTTTAAACTCATAAAAACCCTCGTTAAAAATAGTTTTTCTTCTTCTAAAGTTTGTCCGTATTGAACTCGTTCTTACCTTTGAGATTTGCTGCAGAAATGCTTTGTTGGAGCAGTGAGTGAGATGGAGTCCACGGTGGGCGGAGAGACGGGGAGGGTTATATAAGGTAGGCCTATCATGATGATGAATCACAGCAGGGTTAAAGTTCTGTCACTGGAGGAAAGGCAAACAGAGTGTCTCCCTCCTCTTACAGGTTAACATGATATGACAGCAGATAGGCAACTTGTGGTGAGACTGGGTTTTACTTTTAATGCAACTTAAGCCTGCAAAGTAAACACTGGTGTGGTTCGATGTTTCCACTGTGTTTAGGCTACTGTGAGAGTGCATCATAGATTGTAAATGATGTCTGCATGGAACAGGTTCTGGTTTGTGCATCACTTTGATAACAGGAGATTACTTGAGTGTTTGCTGTATGTTTGACTGAGAAGTTTAAATAGAATCCTCAATACATTTATTTTACTATGCACAAATTATGTTACCTTATTGAATAAAGGTTGGGTAATGCAATATTGTCATCGACTGTAAACATATAATGATTTAAAAACATGATAATTACAACGTATTGTATAGCCTATGTTTCTAAATTATTCATTTCATATTCACAAAAGCAGAATGAGAAAATGAAGTGCAGACCTAACTGATTGTAGATTCATATTTTTTGTGTCTGTTTCACAGCAAATCAGTGGTACAGCATTTTCCTAAACACATGACAAATCATTGAGCAGATGTTGACCAGCTCGAAAACATGAAAAAAAACAATATTAAAGCTTCCAAAGAGTTCATCAAGCATAATCAAAGCTCAAACGTTCACTTTTTCATGAAAACAATCGATCAGCGTGATCGTAGTAGATTTGAATGCCATCTACACTACTTCAAACAATATTTTTTTATTAAATCACACTCATGATTCATGTGGATAAATATGAGAGGAGGGTGAGCAGAGCAATATTCCCCCACGTGACAACCATGTCACTTTACCTATAATAACTTTTTATTAATCTTAACCTTTAATAATTAATCAGTCAATGATTCAAACTGTATGTGTTGCTACTTTGAGAGACCAAGTACATTGTCCATGAAGACAATTCAAAAGATGTCCCATTTGCTCCGGGAGCTGCAGCATTACTACAACAGTTGTTGGGACACCCCCCATGTAAAGCAGAGCTGTACTCACTGCAAGTACTTTTATCAGTGGTCAAGCCAGTCGATGGTAAAAAAACATACCTGCAGGAAACTTTCAACTGTGTGTGCAGCGCTTCTGTTCACAGGCTCATAGGCATAATTTATGGGGGGGATGGGTGGGTTGCAACCCACCCAATAATCCAAACCAGCCACCACAACCCACCACAACCCACCACAACCCACCCAATATGATATCATAATTATTGATAACGAATGTTAAGTATTATAAACACGACAATGTGGTAGATTTTCTCAATTCAGCAGTAAAAAATAGTGACGTTTGTCTGCGCCCCCTCCCGAGTTACTATCTCGCACCGTGACTTACTATCTCATAGTATCTCTTTACTCCTTAAAATTCATCACTTATTATAGAAGGTCGCATGTGCGAGATAGTAACTCGCGCGTGCGACCTTCTATAATAAGTGATGAATTTTAAGGAGTAAAGAGGAATTTTCCTTCCTTTACTATCTCGCAGATAGTACAGAAAAGCAGTAGCAGTGAATGCAGGCCTACTGTAATGGATCGAGACAGTCTCATCATTTTCTTCTTCAATTTAGGTATGCGTCATAAAGAAATACTTAGAAGCTTAGCCTTATATGGTTTCATTTTAAGCCAGAGGCAATTTATCAGAATCCTTGGAGAATACAGACTTTGTCGTCGACAATTTTCGGACTTGCAGGAAGTAATTGATTTTATCAGTGTCCTGAATATACAACACTTTTTTTTCCCTTATGAATATATCTGAAAAAGAGTCGACAATCAACTGCCAAGCAGCGAAGAAATATGGTGACGCAGAATGCAATGAACAGATATGGAGAGCCCAAAAACACCGTCTTAAAAATGCTGACAGTCAAAGAAAAGCTTTCCGTGGTTCCGTGGTAATTATTGTCCGTTAATGCATAAAAGGTAAAGAAAATATTTTTCTGCGTTTATCTTATAATTGCAGGACAATCTGCCAAGTATGGGGGCTCCACTATGATGGAACTCAAAACAAACAAGGTCATTGACATTCAGCTAGTGCAGGTATAACACTGATACACTGTTGGAAATAGGAATCATATTAGTCTTTTTGTATGAACGTTGCAGAGCATTTGTCTACTTCTTTTGTTTGGCAGAGCAATGAAGTTGGAAACAGCTTAAGGGTGGAGAAGGAGGGCTTTGAGCAAAGTCTGTCTCTCATGGAGAGTAAAGAGATCCGGATCAAGGCCATTGTCACCCCTAACCCATATGGGGTAGAAGTTCTTGGGGGAGCAGAGACCAGACATGACCCACTACTTTGACCCTTGGCATATGGCAAACGGTATGTATTTGAATTAAACAGTGATAAAAAATGTATTTGTGTTTGAAAATGTTCTGTCTTGTGACCAAGGATTGGGAAAAAAAATGGATGCGCTTGCAATCTTTTCTTTTAGTACTTATTCACTTTGTAGTTAATATTATATTGTGTTTAGATTTGCTAACATTGTGTTTTTTATTCATATTGTGTGTTTGGATAACCTGCTGCTGTAACGCCACAATTTCCCAGTTTGGGATCAATAAAGTAATTCTATTCTATTCTATTCTATTATTCTATTGCAAAAATAACCAAAACACAGGATGTTGGCTTGTGAAGGAAGAGCGTGATAAAATGCCTTTACTGGTCGGCATCAACTTCAGCATTAGGGGAGGAGGTTGTGGCCAGGTGGAGTTCCGTAGCCAACCAAATCCAAAATGTCCACACTACACAATACACGATATATTATTTCATCGTCATGCTTCTTGCAACCCCCCCCTCCCCCTTCCTCCAAATGTTTTTATTGCAGATCTAAATGAATCACACAAATTACCTATTTGGAATCCAAAACGGCTAATTTCGCAGAAAGGTGACAAGTTTGCACCCCTGTTGTGACGTTTGCTTGACGTTTCAGGGCAGCAAAAAACCCCATTAAGCTTAAAAATAGTGTCAATAAAGGGAGCAGGGACACACACACAGTATGCCAACTATCCTTCTTTTAGCAATAACACTAATTCAAATTATTCAAGCTTATAAACAGAATAAAACTTCAACTTGTTACAGTTTGGGTCCATGTCGTTGGTGTTTGGAAAGCATTGGAGACAGTAAAGAGAGTGAACAACCACATGTGTCTGTGGTTTCCACAATGCTCGTCATTACAATACAATACGTTACAATAACATCAACCTAGCCCAGTTGGACGGCGACTATCTTATCAGACATGAGCGAAATAGTGCCCACACAAACCCTCATGTTACTGTTGAGTTGAGAGGCAAGAAGAAAGTGAATGGCAGAAGTGCTGCTTAAACTAAGTTCAATAATTAAACAAGGCACCGTCTAGTGACATCGCTCCCCTAGTAACTTAGCAACACAGTATGTCTTAAATGTGCATTCCACAATTTTAACTGTTACAAACTACATTTCTGGTGCTGATTCTATGTTCCTCAATCTGCTGCTGCAGCACAAAGGAGCTCTGTGCTACTTGCTTTTGGTGATTAAGCATCAGCCACGAAAAAACAACTTTTTTATTTACTTCTAGCGTCCATGTTTGTTCTTTTTTCCGACCACAGCACTTAAATGCATGTCATCATTAGGACTGCACAATTGGGACATACAATATTTCTGAGGAGCCTGTGAGGAGGCTGTAATTTCACAGTGGTTTGTGGTCAATAAATAGAGAATTCCAGTAATGTCAAAATTTTCAATACTTGGGATACTTTTTGAAACAAATAACATCAATCTGTTATTTTAATGATAGTATCATTTTAAATTTTAACTTGAAACATCACACAGTGATCAGATAGAATCTTGTAGGAGCAACACGGTTTGGCAGTCATTTTATCAAGAAAATAGAGATAAATTTGTGTGTAAACTGTGTCAGGTTATAATGACTCAACCGGAGCAATGCATAACCTCATTTAACGTGCAGGGAGGACCGAAGGCTGCACTGAACCAGAGGCGGCTGCTTGAAGGACTGCATTCTCTGTACATGAAGCGCAAAATATAACTGCTTTGTAACTTTGTTTTATGTGAGTCTTTATTTTTAATATATTAAGAAATGATTACCTGAATTACACCTGCCTTTTCAGCAGCACACAGGTATATTTATGAGGCTTACTGTATATAAAAATATTTTTCATGTACGATTATATTTCCATTCCACTGCACACATCCATAAATGTACAATCTAAGTAATTATTGATAACCTCTATTATCTCTATTCATTAACACAGTTCATAACACAATTTAATTGCTCAGCTTTTAAAAAAAAAAAAACAAGGGGTTCCGAATAATTGATAAGACACCCATCTCTTTGTGCATTTGAGATAGACTTTGTTTTATTATTATTTGTTCATTATTTAGAGTGGAACATATAGCAGAGATGCATATGATTATATTACTGTATAATAAAAATAAAGAACCTGTTTAAATAGGTCCGCTGCAACTTAACATGCTGTTATGTCCTGCTCTTCAGATGTTTCTGTTGTCACATTTCATATCACGACTAAATGCACTTTTTAAAACCTTCCCATTTTAATATTCAGTTTATAAGATGCCAAAGTGACCCTGATGTCACCCTTTTATTTGTTACAGGTTTCTGATTGACTGCTGCCTCCATCATTGATTATTGTTCATAATCAATAATCATTTATCATCACACTTGCAGGTCACTGAGGAGACCTGAAGAAAGATGGAGGACAGACAAAAGAAGACAGAGGCCATTTATTGACACAGAAACAGCACAGCAGGGCTGCACCTGAGAAAGCCACGACGACGATGCTCTGATATGAAGAGGGTTCTGGTTCTGGTACCACTCTGGTCCTGAAGGGCTGAAGAACCCGCTCCCACTGAGTGAGGATGGCCTGACGGGCTCCAGCCCACTGACCTGGTCCGCTCAGACGGTACTGATAAGGAGTACAGGGACCCA